GCAGCTTCCTGGTGGGTTATTCCCTAATTTTCTTCCCAAAATCCCCTTCTCTTGGCTTTTTATTGTTTTTTTTTTTTTTGAGAACACACACAGCTACCTGTTCCTGATTAAATGAGGAGAATTTGGGGAGGAGAAGGTGTTTGGGGCTGGTGCCTTCCCCAGCTCAGCCCGAGGACCTCAGTCCCCGCCATCTAAATCCTCATCCCTGGATCTTCCCRTAATCCACGCTCTCTGTGGGCACATTCTGGGGGTCACTGCCCCTTTTCCCAGCTGCACTGGGGGTGGTTGGAGAAGCAGAGATGATTTTGGGGGCTGTGTGGGTTTTTTTTGAGAGTGCTGTCCCATGGGATGTCACCCCGGGATCCAGCGCGGTGCCTGTGGGGTGACTGTAATCTCCTCCTGCTCCCGAACCGTTTCCCCACTTCTTCAGCAGAGCGAAGACAGCAATTAGAAATCCAAATTTCCCCCTTTTCCCTCTCCTTTTTSTTTTATAGATTTCATTTTTGGGGTGCAACAACCTGGGAAAAATCCCAGATTATTTTGGTGATCTGGGTGTTATCCTTTCCTCTTCATCCYGGAAGGATCCCCAATTCTCTGCGCCACTGTGATTTATTTTTTTTAGTTTCCCCACTGAAATTTTTTTCCCCAGCACCTCCTGAAAGTCCGCTAAGCAAGGTAATAGCTTGAGCAGGACACAGGGTGTTGCTGCCACCCATTAATGTTGGTTTTCTATGGGGGACCCCACCCCACAATTTTCTGGAGAGATTTGGGGTTGGAATTACACCATTCTGCCCCATCAACCTGACTTTCTCTGGGTTCCTGAAGCTCACAGATTCCTGGGATTTGGCTGTGCTGAATAAATAATAAAAACTAAAGTGGTCTAAGCCCAAATTTGGCTGGTTTTTGACTCGTCTCCTGTTTCGGTCTGAGCCCTCTCTGCACCCCAGGCACTGATGGGTGTTTGGGTGCTCCCAGCTCAGATTTGCAGCATTTTTKGGGATGGCTGCAATATTTGCAGGATCATGTGTGTGTATTCCAAGCATGCTGGCACAGGTTTTGGGAGGGGGATGTGGCGGGATGGGGTYGTGTGTCACCCGTGTGCCGCAGGACTGCGGACATCTGCGGGTGCCACCCTGTCTGCTGCAGGACGACGTGGGGCGTTTTGGGTCACTCTGACCTGGTTTCCAAGATTTTCCCCTCATTTTTCCTGATCCCTGAGCAGGGCTGGATCCTCCTTCTCCCTCTTTTTGCTGCTTTTTGGGGTCTGCATGAGGTTGCAGGATCTCAGGACGTGCTCCCTCCTCTGAGGATCCACAGCCCCTCTGCTCATCCTGGGCATCTCCTGCACCCTCAGCTCCATCCTTCCCCCGCAGCCTTTTCCAGGGGTGCAAACAGCAGCAGGATGCTCCAAGGGCTGCCTGGTACTTAGGATGGGGACATGGGGACAAGTCCTGGGGGTCCCCTTCATGCCACCCTCCTGCAGAGCTCCTTAACCCCATTTCCAAGCTTTGCTTTCCTGACAAAGGCCCTGCGAGCATTGCTGGGCTGGGGAAGAGCTGGAATTCCTCCAGYTTCACAGTCCGTGGGATTTCTGTGGGGCAGAGGGGTGATTTTGGGAGAAGCTCACCCCCAAACACCAGCAGCACCCTGAGGCATCTTATCCAGGTGCTCGGGATCAGGCAAAACCCCCTTGAACCGGGGCCGGGTGCTCCGTGCCACCTCCAAGCAGGAATTATCGGGATCACTGGAAACGGAAAGCCACACGGAGCCGATCAATGCAGTGTCACCAAAGTGTCCCTCGCTCTTTTCTCCTCAATTATTGATGCTCCCACCCAGCAAGTTTGTCCCCAAAACTACTCCAGTGTGTTCTGCACAAACCCCAACATCTCTGCAAATCCCGATGTCTCTGTAAGGTGAGAACTCTGGTCCTGGAGTTAAATCCTGGGGTGGAAGCCGGGTGGGCTGCTGGGCATGGAGGAATTTAGGGTGATGTTCACTTAAAAAGCAGAAATAAACTGGAATCCCAGCCAAATTAATCCCAAACAAAAGGAAATCTTGGATTTGGCTCTGAATGCCGGGCTGAGCTGCTGCAAGCAGTTCCTGGGCTCGGTTTGGAGCTGGAATTTTTTAGCTCAAGTGGTTCTTTATATTTTGGCTCAGCCAGAGTTGGATTTTTGCACATTCCATCCTTTCCATGCTCTGTGCCCGGCTGTCTCCTCAATATTTCCGCATCCCTGAGAGTCAAACACTGCCCTGTTCACCTTACATAAAAATACATTTTTRTATAAAATAAATTTATCTCCATTTATCACCTTGGTGGAACAGAGCTCTGCCGTGGGATCATGACTGTGGCACTGGCATGGCTCATTCTGAAGGCTGGAATTTTTTCCAGCCCTCCACCTTCCCCCTGCCAGCATTTCCCTATTGCACCGATGTAATCCCTAAACTCGAAGGGAAGTGAGCTCCTTCCCAAAAGCCAAGATATGGGAAAACACCCCTGCATAATGTTAACAGGACAACAGCTGGTATTTTATCCCAAATTCCTTGTTTTTTGGTGAATTTGCATCACTCAGAGATGCTGCTGCTGCTGTGGGAACTGGGATCCAGGTGGTTGAATGTAGGATATGGGTGTGGGAGGGTGTGGGATATGGGATGCAGGGGAGGGCATTTGGGATACAGGCGAGATATAGGATGCAAGGATGCAGGACATTGGGTGTGAAATGCTGGTGCAGGAGCTGGGATGCAGGATGTAAAGATAGAGAATACTGGATGTGGGATGCAGGATAAAGGGCATGACAAATAGGATACGAGAATTGGGATGCAGGCTATRGGGCATAGGATATGGGATTTGGGATGTGGGATAWGGGATRCTCCCTGCAGCAGGCTGCRTGTCTGTTGTCACTGCCCCTTGATCCAGGGGGAAAAGGGAGCTCTGGATCAAAAGAGCAAGAAGGAACCCGTCACTGCTCGGCTCACCCTTTCCTGACCAGATAAACTCCATCGAAGACTCAACAGCGGCAATTCCCAGCAATTCCTGGCAATTCCAGCTCCTACCCAYCACTGCCTGTGTGTTTGTAGGTGGTGGGATAAAACAGGTGAGATATGGGATGCAAACCATGGAATGCCGGATGCACATCCACTTGTGTCCAGGGAAAACAGCTGCACTGCCAAGTGGGAAATATTCCACAACAGCGTTGGTTCTCAGGTCTGGAGGGGATCAGATCCCACCAGCCAACACCCTCTGCTATCCCAGCTGTCCGGGAAGTGCAGCTTTCCATGGAATCACCATCCCAAATTCCCAGCAATCCCCTTGTTCCCCACACAATCCCCACAGCTCCGTATTCTGGCTTGCCAAGCTCCTGATTAAGTCATCAGCTCAGTGTTTAATTACCCACACYATAAAATCCAAAGGTTCCTTGGGTTTCACCCCCCTCCAATCCTCCCTTTCCACGGATGAGAGTGGAGGGAAAGCAGAGGGAGCATCTTCCCACCCCCACCAGGTTATTTATTCATGGAAAAGGCCGAGGATGGAGYACGKCTCCGGCACAGCCCTGGCAGCTGGYGGCTCCCTGGGAGCTGTAATTTGCACAAGCAAAAATAAACTAATTGTTATTTTCCATTTACATAAAGGGAAGGGAAGAGAGGTTGGAAGAGAGGGGGAAGGAGGCCGGGAATGCGAAGGGAACGTGCTGCCAACCCTTT